TTTTTTTTTCACAATCAAATTTATTTACTTTTAATTGAAAGATAATTGCTTTATAATACTGCGTTGGTTTCTTTCTTTCTTTCTTTCTTTTTATTCATTGGAGGCTAATTACTTTACAATATTGTAGTGGTTTTTGCCATACATTGAAATGAATCAGCCATGGATTTACATGTTCCCCATCCTGAACCCCCCTCCCACCTCCCTCCCCATCCCATCCCTCTGGGTCATCCCAGTGCACCGGTCCTGAGCACTCATTTCATGCATCCAACCTGGACTGGTGATGTGTTTCACACTTGATAATATACATGTTTCGATGCTGTTCTGCCAAACATCAACATGGTTTGGGAGGAGCCAAGCCAATGACTTGAGGCCCACAGTTGTTGTTGTCCAGTCACTATCCGACTCTTTTTGCGAGCCTGTGGACTGCAGCCTGCCAGGATCCTCTGTCCATGGCATTTTCCAGGCAAGAATAAGGGAGTGGGTTGCCATTTCCTCTTCTAGGGGATCTTCCCACCCAGGGATCAAACTAGTGTCTCCTGCATTTGCAGGCGGACTCTTCACCCCTGAGTCACCAGGGAAGCTCAGAGGGGACGAAAGATGAGAGAGATTTGTTGAAGAGGTAGATCCCATTGTGTACTGTGGGTGAGGTTAGCATCCAAGTGCGGCCTGACTAGAGAGGGAGGGACCTTTCAGGAGGGGGAAGGCAGCAGTGTGGAGGAGGAGAGATTTGTCATGGCTGGGCAAAGGGGAAAGCTCCTCTACAGTGTCAGAAGTGGGTTTTACTCATGCCATACAGGATGGCCCCTTCATTCCAGAGGCCAGGGGGTAGCTTATGCTATAGATCAATAAAACTGGGATAAGGAGGGGGGCAATAAAAAGCTCGAAGTTTGATTCACAGGGTTTTTTTTAACTTTTAATTTTGTATTGGAGTATAGCGGATGGTGACTGCAGCCATGAAATTAAAAGACGCTTACTCCTTGGAAGGAAAGTTATGACCCACCTAGATAGCATATTAAAAAGCAGAGACATTACTTTGCCAACAAAGGTCCGTCTGGTCAAGGCTATGGTTTTTCCAGTGGTCATGTATGGATGTGAGAGTTGGACTGTGAAGAAAGCTGAGCACCGAAAAATTGATGTTTTTGAACTGTGGTGTTGGAGAAGACTCTTGAGCATCCCTTGGACTGCAAGGAGATCCAACCAGTCCATCCTAAAGGAGATCAGTCCTGGGTGTTCATTGGAAAGACTGATGCTGAAGCTGAAACTCCAGTACTTTGGCCACCTCATGCGAAGAGTTGACTCATTGGAAAAGACCCTGATGCTGGGAGGGATGGGGGGAAGGAGGAGAAGGGGATGACAGAGGATGAGATGGTTGGATGGCATCACCGACTCCATGGACATGAGTTTGAGTAAACTCCGGGAGTTGGTGATGGACAGGGAGGCCTGGCGTGCTGCGATTCATGGGGTCACAGAGAGTCGGACACAACTTAGCAACTGAAAGGAACTGAACTGAATGGAACTGAAGGCCGACTAACAATGCTGCGATAGTTTCAGGTGAACAGTGAAGGGACTCAGCCCAGTATCCGGGCTTCCCTGATAACTCAGTTGATAAAGAATCTGCCTGCAATGCAGGAGACCCCAGTTTGATTCCTGGGTTGGGAAGATCCACTGGAGAAGGGAAAGGCTACCCACTCCAGTATTCTGGCCTGGAGAATTCCATGGACTGTATAGTCCCTGGGGTCCCAAAGAGTTGGACACGACTGAGCAACTTTCACATTCTCCCCCAAACCCCTCTCCCATCCAGGCTGCCGCATAACATGAGCAGAGTTCCCTGTGCTATATACAGTAGGTTCTTGTTGCAGATGTCAGCTTCTGTAAAACCTGAAGCATGGACCAGCAGACAGCAGTGCATGCTGTCTCCCCTGGGAGGAGTCAGAAATGCAGTGGCGAGAGACAGGAGTAGTGTGCTAACTGATACAAGGATGACTGATCCTTCTAAGCTTAGAAGGTGACACAAGGAAAAAGGAATTTGTATGGCAACTTAATTCATAACCAACTTAACTTGTTGGTTAACCATTTTAAACATAGCAGTGTGTGCATGTCCATCCCCAACTCCCTAACGATCCCTTCCATTCATCCTTCCCCCCAGAAACCGTAAGTTTGTTCTCCAAGTCTGTGAGTCTCTTTCTGTTTTGTAAGCTCCTTTGTATCATTTCTTTTTAGATTCCAATATAAGGAATGTCTTCTCTGACTTACCTCACTCAGTAAGACAATCTCTGGGTCCATCCCTGTTGCTGCAAATGGCATTATTTCATTCCTTTTAATGGCTGAGTAATATTCTATTGAATATATGTACCACATCTTCTTTATCTAATCCTCCATTGACAAGTCTTTAGTAAACATCACAGTATGTCTGAGAGTGTGCTCAAGACTGAAGACACACCAGTGATGAGCAAAACAGGTCTGGCTCTGCCCTTGGGGCTTTATCATGGTTTCTCCAAGATGTCTTTTTTCTGGTTCCTTTGAGGTTTGGGGAATAGGAGAAATTAGTACTCCCTTTCAGAGGGTGCTGTCAATGCCCAAGGCTTGTATGTGTTGACTTTCTATTGTTACGAGCCTTAGGGAGATGAGCAGGGAAATCACATCCAGTGATGAGAAATAGCTCAATTGACCAGAAATAGGAAGTCTGTCTAGGTGGTGTCCTTTCTGTCCTCCTTTGGCATGACTAAGAAGCTTTTTATTAATACACATATATGTATGTCTCCATAGGGGTGTGGATGAATGAAGTGTGTCCGGGTTTCAGGTCCTGAGTGTGAAATAAATGTCAACCTGTCCATTTTTCTCTCCTCTCCCTGTGCTGCCCATGAACATCAAAGAAATCAGACCCATGTGACTACACAAAAGGGGTCTTGTTTGGGAATTCACCTTGTTTAGAGAGGGAAGCCCCCAGCCACCACCCCCAGTAAAAGCTGAGTGACCTAGGCAAGGCACACCCCTTCCTGGGGCCTGTTTCCACATCTGGAGTAGATGGAGTTGGCATGGCTCAGGCGTTCCCACCCTGAGTGGTGCATCAGCCTCCTCTGGGAGCATTAAAAACACAGATTCAGGACTCCAGGTCCAGAGATTCTGATTCACTGAGTCTGAGGTGAGACCCGGGAGTCTACATTATCCCTAAGCAACCTTTCTCCTCTAATGATTCCGGTGCAGTATGGAATCCCGACAAACTGGGTAAAAATAGACCACTCTAGCCATGCAGATCACACGGGCTCATAAAAAGCGAGGCTGAGGACACAGCTGTGGCTTCAGCGAGGGTGTCAGGATGGTCGTGGGGCCTTCAGCCTTGAAAGCCCAGTGGGCAGTCAGTGCTGAGCGAGAACAAGAGTGAGACAACAGGAAGCACTGGCTTCCTCCCTCTGGTGTCTGAGGAAGTGGGTCAGACCCACCCACTGGGGATGCTCCTGCTGCTACCTGTGCCCCAGGAGCCCCGCGCCGGTCAGTTGCATGTGTCTGGGTGACGGGGGAGTCTCTATTTGGAGAGTCCCCTTGTTGGGAGCCTCAGAACAAGGCTCATTGTGGTAAGGATTTAGGACAGCCATCACTCCAAAGGGCTCATAAGGAAGATCTCTCTCCCTGCCGGCTGACTGCTGCTGGTAGGGATCCAGGTGCTTCCTTCGGCTGCTTACGGAGGCACTTTGTCCTCTTGGCACTCTTCCTTTATCAGTCTCCTGTCTTCCCGGAGCTCCTGGAGCCCTCAGTTTCCTGATGCAAGATGAATCCATAGAGAAATCTGATCAGCCCCCACCCCCCCACCCTTGGACTGGAGCTGCAGCCACACAATTCACTGGCCAGATATTCAGATGCCCCAGTTGGACCAAACTGCTGTAGCCAGGGACAGGGCCCAGAGCTAAATTACGAGTGTGGCTGGATCCATTCAGCAGGGATGGCGGTGAAGGGAGGTGGGTGACAAGCAATGACAGGCACCTCTGGAGAATTCTCTGCAGCCTGCCCCATGCTGGCTGTTTGAGCGAGGTGGGGACTGAGAAGAGCAATACCGCAAGTATTCAAAGTCCCCACTAGGGAAATTGCTACCAGGTATTTGAGGTGAGATCCTGGTGTCCTTGGGATTCCCAGGTGGCTCAGTGGTAAAGAATCTGCCTGCCAATGCAGGAGACATAGGTTCGATCCCTGGGTGGGGATGATCCCCTGGAGGAGGAGATGGCAACCCACTCCAGTGCTCTTGCCTGGAGAAGCTCCATGGACAGAGGAGCCTGGCAGGCTACAGTCCATGGGGTCGCAAAGAGTTGGACATGACTGTATGCACGTATCCTGGGTGTCTACATCAGGCCTTGCGTGAGGACGAGGTGTGCGACCACAGGGCTGTGCATCCAGGAGGCTTATTGCTTTCTTAGGAGGTGAAACCTCAGGTGGGCACAGCTGATTCCAGAAAATGCTGGAGACAGAGCAGGTTAGCCAGGGATATGGCAAGCGTGTGGTGTCCTCAGCTGGGTCTTCTCCACGGCGCTGTGTGCTCTGGCCGCCCCAGACAGCTACCCTCGCAGGCTGGTGGTCTGGCAGGGATACTGCTGCCCCTGACATGCACCTGGGTCCGGTTCGGGTGCTGTCTGACAAGGACACAGGTGTTTCTCCAGAGGATCTGGGAAGGAGTATGATGTGGTCCCAGATTCCTGATTCTCTGTGCCATGATAGGGCTGTTCCTCTGAGCCTCCTCCCTTCCCTGGGCCACATTTTCAAAAGGTCACTTTTGGAGTGCCCTTGGCCTAAGCTGCTTGGAGGGGCCGAGCTAACAAAGGCTCTCCAGGAGGCAGGGCCTGGCTCCCTCCTCCTCACACGCATGGAAACACCGGGAGGTCATCTGACTCCTAGGAGAGCTCCCCCTGAGACTGGAGAGTGCATTCCACGCCAGCTTTAGCAGTCTCCGGGGGAGATTGCCTAGGATGCCTAGGAACCAGCCAGGCGGCAGCTGGGTGATGTGACTCCCGGCCATGCATTTGAAGGGCTTGCTGTGGGGCTGCCGGGCAATGACCTTGAGCCACTTCAGCTGTGAGTCCCGGTGTTTCAGGACAAAGCCCGCACAAAGCGGAGGGTAGGAAGAGAAACAGCCCAGAGAGAGGGAAACTTTGGGGCGGGAGACCCTCCCCCAAGCAGCAGGGGTCACGCGACTCTATATCCATCTTAGGGAAAGGTCACTGCAGCCACACGGGTGCTGTCAGAAGTTCCACCACCTGGGGTCTGGGGCATAGGACTTGGAGCACGTGGGTTCCTCCCTCCTTGCCTTGGGGCATCTCAGAGGCTCCAGCCAGGCCCAGGAGCCAGAGCAGCTCCATCCTTCCAGGTGCCCAGGCTGTGGGGACCATGACTAAAGCACCCCTCCAGCCAGCTCTGGGCCCTTCGGGACACCTGATGCCGGCTGTGGCCTCCCAGCCTCCTCTGTTTCTGTTGCATTAACTTGACCTCTGGGATGAACTTTCCCTGCTGGTTACTTGAGGTAAACAGCTCTAGTGGAGCAGACTTACCATCATTTTTGTAACCAGTTCTCTGCAAGCTAAGTCACTTCAGTTGGTTCCGACTCTTTGAGACCCTGTGGACTGTAGCCCACCAGGCTCCTCTGTCCATGGGGTTCTCTAGGCAAGAATACTGGAGTGGGTTGCCATTTCCCTCTCCAGGGAATCTTCCTGACCCAGGGATCAAACCTGCATCTCTCACATCTCCTGCATTGGCAGGTGGGTTCATTACCACTAGCACCACTTGGGAAGCCCCAACCAGTTTCCTACTGCTTTACTCTTGTTTTTGAATTTTCACCCTTAATAATTCCGTGGTAAATACCATGGGCACACAGTATCTTTTCCTAAAGAGCGAATCCCCAAAGTGAAAAAAAGCTCCATCAAAGAATGTAAGAATTTTTACAACTCTTTTCAACTTACTTTCCAAAATATTGTGCCCCTTTATTATGTTACCATCAGTGTGTGAAGAAGAGTACCAATTTCACCCTGGCTCCACTGGGTGTTATTTTTTTTTTTTTAACTTTTTTCTAATTTAGTACTTAAAAAGAGACTACTTCATTAATGTTTCAAGTTTCATTTCTTGGATTACTAGTGAGATCCAATATTTTCCCATGTTTACTTGCTATGTTTTCCCTTTTCTAAATTGTTCTAGACATCCAAGTATGCCTTACAACTTCTAATGCGTGCATAACAAATATCACAAAGCATTAGTATTGGCTACATTGACAAGAAAAACACGCTGAATTTCCAGCTTTGCCCACACATCTGCTGGAAATTAAGTGTGTTTTTCTTGTCAATGTAGCCAATACTAATTCTTTGTGATATTTGCTATGCACGCATTAGAAGTTGTAACGCAAGCTTGGATGTCTAGTAGGCCACTCAAATTTAACGTATCTTGAAATGGGACCCTCGATTTTCCTCCCTAAACCTGCCGTACCTTCTCGGCTCTTCCCCATCTTAGTAAATGGCATGACAATCCACCCTAGCCCACATCCTGAGTCTTTCTGGATTCCTCCTGTTCCCTGATGCCTCAGGTCTCATCCACTAGCCAGGCTCCCTCCTCCAGCCCTCCCCAACCAATCAAGCTACCCCAGTCACTATTCATCACAGAGTGCTAGGTTTCATTCTTTTTGGCACTTGCCACAATCAGAAATGCTCTTGTTCACTTATTCATTTTTTAAATAGTGTGTAACTTCTCTAGACTCTAGAGTCTAGAATATAAGCTCCCTGAGGTCAGGCACCTTGCCTGCCTGATTCATCACTGAAGGCCCAGTGCCTGGAGCAGTGTTTATTCCTTGGTGTGCATGCAGGCTCAGTTGCTCTTTGCAACCCCATGGACTGTAACCCACCAGGCTCCTCTGTCCATGGAAGTTTCCAGGCAAAAATACTGGAGTCGGTTGCCATTTCCTCCTCCAAGGGATCTTCCTGACCCAGGTGTGTCTCCTGCATTGGCAGGAGGGTTCTTTACCACTGTGTCACCTGGGAAGCCCCGTCCTTTAGTGGGAGCTCAATAAACACATGTTGAATGATTGAGTGAATGAAATTGACCCTTATAAACTCATTTAAATGTATACGAAGGAGACCTTAGGACATGGAGGATTAGTGCATTGTCCTTCAGGATAGAAAGTTTTGGGGTAAAACTGGGCTGTGCCGCCTACTATGTGATCTTGAGCAAGTTACTTAACGTCACTCTGCCACAGTTCACTCGTTTTTAAAAATGAGAATAATGATACCATTTTCATAAGGTTGAAAGATACACTAGGGAAGGTGGACAAAATGCTTAAAAATTGAGGTTGACTGTAATAAGCACTTAGTGGATGTCAACATTTCTTCATGAACTTTCCTCTCTGGTTTCTGGGCTTAAAAGCTATTCTCTTCTTTCCATTAAAGTCCCAATTAATACTAAATGATATTTTATTTTAGTTGTTATGGTATACTTTCTAAAAACACTTTTAAAATCCTTACCCTTTAATTGGGATTCCCAGGTATCTCAGTGGTAAAGAACCTGCCTGCCAATGCAGGATATGTGGGTTTCATCCCTGGGTTGGGAAAATCCAATGGAGAAGGAAATGGCAACCTACTCCAGTATTCTTGCCTAGGACATCCCCTGGAGAGAGGAGCAGGTTGGGCTACAGTTCATGGGGTCACAAAGAATTGGACACCACTGAGCATGTGCCCTTTAATTAGTTTGTAACTTATTTAGGTGTATCAAGTAAAATGAACTTCTAAATGCTATTGGCACCATTTGTTACGCTTTCTTTATCACACATTCAATTTTTAAATATAATACGGTACTTTTCTTGGCTGCCAAGTCTGTCTCCGTGTCCCCTCTTGAACTGGGACTGTGCTGTTTCAAGGAGTGGATTAGACCTCCTGAGTGTTGGAAGATTCCGCGACATTCTAAGCTGGCAGGCTCAAAAAGGAGATGTCTGTTTGGAACATATGTTTATTCTGGTTCCAGGCCCTGGTGAGACTACTTGCCCTTCTTGCCCTTGGGTTCCTTGAGACACCAGTATATCCTACTACAAATGTCCCCTTTTCACTTGGGCCAATTTAAACAGATTTCTGTAACTTGTGACTGAAGGAATCCAAAGGTAAACTTCACCTTTATAATGGCCTGAGGAACATCCCCAGCCAGTGAGGCTGTATTTCTACATGTCACGGAGATTAAAATGCTGTCCCCAACATGGTGTCAGAAAGTTACCTGCCAACAGGGTCAGCAAAAGACAGGAAAGCCTTCAGGACATTCATGTCCAGCCACACATACCCACCCTGCCACCACCTTGATGGTGGTAGGTATCCCAACACTATGCTGCAGATTCAGACAAAGCTTGAAAGCCAGGCTGTCTGACCCATTCAAGGCCCCATCAGTGCAATAGTCCATTCTAAGACCAAAAACAAGAGAAAATAAAGTATGTGGAAGTGACTCTATCAGTTCAATAGGCCGTTGTAAGACCAAAAACCAAAGAAAATAAAGTATGTGGAAGTACTTGCAAAAAGCCATGAAAATGTATTATTGCCTTGTTTCATTCCAAAAAAAAGATACGGAATAGCGTACAAAAAATATTATTTTTGAATATGTCTAAGACTCTCTGTCTTGAGGTCATCATATAAGAGTATCAATCTCATTTTTCAGCCTATAAAGGCATTATTAAGAGTAGAGATTGCTCTGGACTTGCCCTTGACCCTACATGATACTTCATCCCTTGTTTTCTTTGAAAAATCCTTAATATTACCGTGGTTTTTACTGATTAATTGGCTCTCATTTGGGGAGATGACGTGTGACACATTTTCTTAGATATTAAGTACATGAGGGAAAGTATTATAAAGTTAGTGTGTGTCTCTAGTTGTGTTTGGTTTGCTGTCCTAGAGAAGGCAAGGGTGCCAAGGAGAGGTACGAGAAAGGCTGGCAAGACAGAGCAAAAACCTGTGACTTCACTCCCCCAGGCAGAGGGAAGAGTGACTCAGCCGGACGCTCCATCCACAGGAAAACCGTCCAAGCTTGCGCATTTCCCATCAGCCCTGCACCTACTGGGATCTCCTGGCTGGCACGACTCTGTACGGTCACCTGGTGTCCCCGCTGCAGGACGCCCTGGGGCCTTTTTCCTACTCGGTCAGTGCCAGTGGGTGGGGCCACCTCCCAGTTACGGGCAGAGCTAATAACAGCAATCACTCCACCTGTGGGTCATGCAACACAAAGCATTTCAGAAAGCTTGAACACGCAGAGAGATCTCGCCTAAGCAGAGGGACATGGCCTTTTGCTCAAAAGGGCACAAGCCAATTTAGAAAGAGAAAACTCTTGAGCATTCGACGCCCCGCTTCGTGCTGCTCTAGGTTTACTGCTGGCCGTGCCCGGGCCTCCCACGTCTTTGCCACTCGCTCCTGGTCCTTCTTGTAGAAAGACTCCTGGGGTGGCCGCATTTCTACCTCTTTTCCCTTTCTCTGCTTTCTGGGAGGTGACTCTGTGGAAACCCACCTCAAATGCATGCACAGGCAATACGAAGACCCAGAAAATGTGCTGGGGCCATTCTAAAGACTGACAGGTTAACACGGGGGTGAGAAGCATCTTTGAGTCCCAGGACAGGAAACTCCTTTTGTCCCCTGCCCTTCTCAGAGACTTGTCAACCAGGGGATGTGTGCGTGCATGCTCAGTCATATCTGACTCCTTGCAACCCCGTGGACTATAGCCTGCCAGGCTCCTCTGTCCATGGGATTTCCCAGGCAAGAATACTGGAGTGGGTTGCCATTTCCTTCTCCAGGAGATCTTCCTGACCAGTGGATACTTCAGGTGAAATAGAAGCAAAGTCGTTTTGTTCTCACTGCTCACTGTATCCAGTTCAAAACAACCTCAACTGGCAGCTGACTGCCTATATTTATCAGGAAATGCTGGTCCCCTTGCTTTTACCACCTGCTTATTCAAACATTGAGAGCAACAATTTACATACATCCCATTAGAAGTTCTCCCCAATTCAAATGAGTAACTGCTAGAGGAGATCTTTTTTCCATGACCTGGAGATTTGCTTGAAGATGAGGGGGTCT